GACTGCACCTATACCTTCACCGGATGCATCTGTGTAAACAGTTATCTCGCCTTCACGCCTTGGAACCCGAGAACTGGTGCTGAGGTAAGTGCTTCCTTCAGGCTGATGAAAGCTCGATCAGTCTCCTCAGTCCAAAGAAAATCAACCAATGGACTGGTAAGTTTGGTCAGTGGCCTGGCAATTTTAGAGAAATCTTTTATGAATTTCCGGTAGTAGTTAGCCAGACCCAAAAACTGTAGTATCTCCTTTCGAGACTTTGGGGTAGGCCAACATCTTACTGCCTCTATTTTCTCTGGCTGGGTGTGAACACCATCAGCCGAAATAACATGGCCTAAGAAATCGACTCTCTCTTTAAAAAGGTGACATTTTTTAGGCTTTAATTTCAGGCCAGCTGAGGTCAGACGGTCGAAAACTGATTGAAGCCGGAACATTGTTTCTTCGAAAGTACTTCCAAAGACAATGATGTCATCCAGGAAACACCGACACTCATTCAACTGGAGACCTCTAAGCACCATTTCCATAAGTCTCTCGAACACACTTGGGGCGTTACATAGGCTGAAGGGCATGACATTCCACTCAAACAGTCCGTAACGTGTGACAAAGGCTGTTTTCTCTCGATCACAAGGATCCATTTCTACCTGCCAGTATCCTGCTTGCAAATCCATTGTGCAGAACATTTTGGCACCACCCAGACTGTCAATACAGTCTGCAATGCGAGGTAGGGGGTAGGAATCTTTCCGAGAAACCTCATTTACAAGCCTAAAATCACAACAATATCTCCAACGGCCATCCTTGCGTTGCACAAGAACTGTCGGGGAAGCCCAAGGAATATTCGAGGGACTGATTACACGTGCACCTTGCTCTAACATGCGAGCCACTTCTTTCTCCTCCGCCTCTTGCCTCGCCAGCATCTGAGGACGTGGAGCCTGTTTGATAGGTATCGCATCACCAGTATTGATGCGGTGTTTAACAAGGTTAGTTCGACCAAGATCATCATCATCTTTTGCGAATGTATCTCTGTATGAGCACAGGAGATCTCTCCGCTAATCCTGCTGCTCAGAGCTGAGGTTTGTTTTACTGCGATCAAATAAATCTGTTAAATGATCAGGCACCTCCAAGTTTTTAACACTAACTCGTGATACTTTCTTTATTTGCCTATCTGGTAATACATTGACACACTGACACTGACCAATAATTCTTCCCTTAGCTAAAGTGTATTTGGTATCAAGAACATTGATAACCTTAACTGTAGCTGCTTTAATACTATTTGTGACTACTGATTGTACCATGTGTGAATAAAATCTCCCTGCAGGGTTCTATCAGGATCGAGGACCGTTCCCGATGAAGTTGTGGCAAGCTCACTTGGATAAAAGATACAGACTGGGGCAGCAAAGAGACTGCAACGATAAAAGTGGTTTCAGCTCTCACAGTTGGTAACAACCTGCCCATCAACCGGACCCTTGACCCAGGGATGTCGATCAGACCCTCCAGTCTATCCAGTACATCTATACCCAGAATGCCATCACAATCATGGGAATGATCAACCTCTGCAACCCGGAATTCCTCCACAGTGGGGTTCATGTCATCACTAATGTGAACAGGTCCTTTGAATATTCGATGAGCCTCCAGAACCATGTCAATTGAGTTGACAGCTACTGAAGACGGCAAGCGCTTGCTTGAGGCTGGGGAAAGTAAGGTCACCTGACTACCTGTGTCAACAAGCAAAGTGAAGTAAATGTTGCCAATCTTGACATTCAATAATTGGCCCTTATCTCCTACTTTAAAACAAGCCTGGAAATTTGCATTCACCTTGACTGGGTCAGATGGATTAAGGGAGGAATCATGGGTTATCTCCCCTTGACCAGAAACCAGACAAATCTTTCCCTCTATCTGACCACTTGCTTTACTAGGTCTCACTTCCTTAGGATTTGAGGTTTCTATTTCAGAACTCTCCACCGAAGCCCGACCTAAGTCCGGGGCGGTGGGGTACCGTTTCCCTGACAACTATTTGTCTTGGAATTCTGAGGGCACTCGGAAGCCCAATGACTTTTCTCACCGCATGTGAAACAGGCAGTGGTTCCTCTCCTAGAAGCACTAGGGGATCGCGAATAACTACGCCCATTGGAATGCTCTCTCCTATTTTGAGAGGATTGAGGTCGCCCCTCATTCTTCTGAAATGTGTTGCTCTTATTGTTCTCAACAGGTCTTCCTCTACCAATGCGTCTTTGTGAGCGAGCTGACTGTACCTGCATTGATGCAAGCTTCTCTACTGTCGTTTGAAGATCAGCCAGCTGACTGGTCAGAGGAGTAAGTCTCTGGTTGACAGATTTCACCTCCAACTCTGAGTCAAAATGAACTCTCCTTCCTTGTGAAGGGTAGGGACTCAGTGCCTGCACCGACCTCTGTTAACCAGGTTTGCCTACAATTGACTCGTACAGCTCAGCTACATCCACCGCCTCCTGTAAGGTACGTACACCTCGGTCCATGAACCGGAGTCTCAAGTCTTGATCCCCAGCCCTCTTCAGTGCATCCAGAGCCAACCTCTCCTGAAGTTCATAAGGAAGATCGGCGTATGCACCTTGAGCAAGATGCCAGAGATCATCTCGTAAGTCGGCAATTTTCTCACCGGACTTAAGGCTTCGCCTCATCAACTCTTCACGTTTAACATCTGAAAGACTGGTTCCATACCGCCTGTGCAGAGTGTGTGAAAGCCACTGGTAATCCAGTCGCTCATGCTCAGGAAGGCCTGCATAAAACTGCTGGGCTACACCCTCCAGAGCACATCCCAACATTTGGGCTGCCTGGGTATTATCCCAGCATGACTGTGCAGCCAGATTATACTGTGCTTCGAAAGCACGATAATCTCCTTGGCCATTAAATTTAGGCAATTGGAAAGATATTCTTCCAATTGAATGATCTCCCCATGGGGGGTATCTGTCCAGAGTGTCAATCCTTTGTGCAAGACCCAGCACACTACTAGACAATTGTGACACGAGACCAATTAGATTTTGGTCTGAACTCACCATTGGTGGTGGAGCAAGTACTGGGTACCCGGTCTGACCAGTGTATGGGTAATCATGACTAGTCTGTGAAAACTGATTCTCAGGGTACACATTAGGAACATTTGGCAAACGATCTTCACTGTGTGACTTGGGTGGCAAGTAGTCACTGATCCTAGGGTCAGAATATTCTGGTCGTCTTGCTACCTGCAGATCATTTTGAAACCTACCTACTGAATTAACAGCAGGTGAATTTGCTGGACTCACAGCATTGAGCTGCTCAGACAATTCATGTCTGGATGGTTGACCAAAGTCAACATCTGGAAACCGAGTACTAGTATTTTCACCAGAACTTAGCTCCGAAATATTGGACTCTTGGCGAGAGCGTAAATTTCCAGCCGGACCATTAACATGATCCACTCTCCTTGACAGGGAATTGATAGATGAATTATTTTCCATTTTATAAAAAAATTGTCACAAAACTTTTATCTTATGGAATCTTATCAATTTGGAATTTTTGTGAAATATTATTCTTACTTTATTTATATATATGAGATCCCCCACGGATCCCACAGCTGCCACCATAAAACTGTAACGGTTCAGGGGGTGGGTATTGGGGTACAGCTTTGGGTAGCGAATTGTGGATCACTCCCAATACCACTAACCACACAGTTTTAATTATTTAATTTTCAAAAATAATTTCACAATTAAGAATTGCACAATAACATTTATTAAATTACAAGAATATAATTATTCTTTTCAGTATTTCATTCAGTTAGGAAGATGTACAATAAAAATAAAATACTTGAATGTCAACTCACATCTCTCGGCTCGAACCGGCTTTCACTCTCGTATCAGAAAATCTACAACCGATCAAACTGTCAACAAAGTGACGTCATCCCGGAAGTAGTCTCTCGCACGAGGATACGGTCGGTGGGACGTGGGGAAATTGCACTCCACCAGTGACAGAAGTTATTTTACTTCGTGTCACGGCTATGTAGTAATAATGCATTTAGATGGACTAGATGCACTTTTGTAGCCATACAAGGCTGATTTAAGCCATTATGCTACAAGAAGTAGTTTCGTGGAACAGACTCACGAATATAGGTGACGTCACACGAACTATCACGTTGCCAAATCGAAACAGGTGATTTAGAACGTGTTCACATTTTGTTTTTGCACATTAAACAAACAGTCAGTAAGATCAGTGGTGATATACGTTAATTCATGTAGCAATAACGTATATCTTTACGGTAGTATGCTGTATCACATACAACATATACAATATGATTCATCTCACTGTCTACTGACCGAAATGTACAAAAGGCTTGTACATTACAGTACCTATCACCGATGTAGAGCTTTAATAGTTGTCACTTTGTCATCCCAGATTTCATAAGGTCCATATGTCTGTCATAAGAACAACAAAGTTCGTGCTCTGGGCTGATGTTTTATTGATGATGAAGAGTCCTGTAATTATAACAAAATGACATGTTATGTGGATTGGTGGTCCGGCATGGTGTGTCCCCACACTGACCATGTAGTTGTTTTTAACTACTATATTATTGATATTTATTTCAATAATTAAACAGTTATCTACTATATTATTGATATTCATTTCAATGATTAAACAGTTATCTGGCCTAATATAATTCACACATGAAGAATTAACCTATTTCAATTTAGATAAAAAAAAGATTAAAAGAGCATTCACGCAACTCATTCAACATACCTGTAAATATAACAAAATGACATGTTATGTGGCTTGGAGGTTCGGCATGGTGTGTGCTGGGTTCCTAACACATGCAGTCTTTATAGAGGACAGTCATGTGATCTGCCTCTATATCATTTTCAGGGACTGCATGTGCCAGGGCCAAGGATGTACCTCACAGACCACAGTTAAGGTGGGCTGTTCAAGCCAATATTAGATAGGTATGGAAAATATTTGGTGACATAAATTATTAACAGATTAGTAAAACTTAACCTGCGACATGTCCCCAGAGCAGCAACACGAGAAGAAGGAACAGTTCTCAGATTGCCACTAGCAACAACCATGGCAGGACCTGGTCCATGTGTTACCCGTGACAACAGTTGAGTGGACAATATGAGAAGCAGGGCCTGGCCGACATGTTACCCGTGACAACAGTTCAGTGGACAGCATGAGACCAAGGACCTGGTCCATGGTTACCCATGACAACAGTTGAGTGGACAATATGAGAAGCAGGGCCTGGCCGACATGTTACCCGTGACAACAGTTCAGTGGACAGCATGAGACCAAGGACCTGGTCCATGGTTACCCATGACAACAGTTGAGTGGACAATATGAGAAGCAGGGCCTGGCCCACATGTTACCCGTGACAACAGTTGAGCGGACAGCGTGAGAAGCAGGACCTGGTCCACGTGTTACCCGTGACAACAGTTGAGTGGACAGCATGAGAAGCAGGGCCTGGTCTACGTGTTACCCGTGACAACAGTTGAGTGGACAGCATGAGAAGCAGGGCCTGGCCCATGGTTACCCGTGACAACAGTTGATTGGACAGCATGAGAAGCAGGACCTGGTCAACGTGTTACCCGTGACAACAGTTAAGTGGACAGCATGAGAAGCAGGTCCTGGCCCATAGTTACCCGTGACAACAGTTGATTGGACAGCATGAGAAGCAGGACCTGGTCGACGTGTTACCCGTGACAACAGTTGAGTGGACAGCATGAGAAGCAGGGCCTGGCCCACGTGTTACCCGTGACAACAGTTGATTGGACAGCATGAGAAGCAGGACCTGGTACACGTGTTACCCTTGACAACAGTTGAGTGGACAGCATGAGAAGCGGGACCTGGTCTACATGTTACCCGTGACAACAGTTGAGTGGACAGCATGAGAAGCAGGACCTGGTCCACGTGTTACCCGTGACAACAGTTGAGTGGACAGCATGAGAAGCAGGACCTGGTCGACGTGTTACCCGTGACAACAGTTGATCGGACAGCGTGAGAAGCAGGACCTGGTCCACGTGTTACCCGTGACAACAGTTGAGTGGACAGCATGAGAAGCGGGACCTGGTCCACATGTTACCCGTGACAACAGTTGAGTGGACAGCATGAGAAGCAGGACCTGGTCCACGTGTTACCCGTGACAACAGTTGAGTGGACAGCATGAGAAGCAGGACCTGGTCGACGTGTTACCCGTGACAACAGTTGATCGGACAGCATGAGAAGCAGGGCCTGACCCACGTGTTACCCGTGACAACAGTTGATTGGACAGCATGAGAAGCAGGACCTGGTCCACGTGTTACCCTTGACAACAGTTGAGTGGACAGCATGAGAAGCAGGACCTGATCCACGTGTTACCTGTCGCGACAAGCATGTACTGCTTGACTGTATTGATTTTTCCATTACAAGGAATAAGTATTTCAAAGTTTCATCCATCAAGGATCTTTTTAGTCAAATACGTGCTCATTTAATCATCGATTTTTTAAAAGAAATAGACTTAATAGATAAATTTTGATTATAATATATATAGCATAAAATACGTGATTTTTAATTTGGTAGAATGAATTCATTACTGAGATTGTTAGTGGCTGTATCTTCACAAGGGGTTGAAGTATCGTAAAACAATTGTACCCCTGGGTATCATTCAAAGTATCTTTTCCTTCTCTGTCATTTGAATCGTGGTATGACCATCGCCAGTAGACAGAGGGATGGTGTAAATCCTGCTGGGGCACCATGTAAATAGCAGAAGTACCGTACGTTTCCATGACCCCTAGTATGGTGGCCTAACTTTGGTTGCTGGCGATCTGAAGCCCGTTTTTATAATGTGTCGTCTGTTATAATCTGATCATTATATTGTTCCAAAATTAGTTTTACAATTATAATCTGTGATGTATTGCTAGTTGTTGTACTGTCCTTCGACGACAGGTTTTTATATATAATATAAATGCATAACTTGCTCAAGTCACGATATGGCTGAAATAGTGCCGATGTGACTTTAAATATTAACTTACTCACTATTGACTGAAAAGTAAGACTGCATTTTAGACAGACTGACTGAAATGAATTAGGCTCATTTATTCGATCTCCTCATTTTAATTTGGATCTATTTTGATCTTATGAAGATCAAAGTCAGTCATGTAAGTAATTAAAAATGTTTCCACCATGAATTGATTGGTTCTTCAAACTTGATAAATTACTAGAGTCCTTTTCTTATGTTGCTTACCATTATTGACATAACATGCAGTTCAGTAACAGAAAATGACTGCTAAAAAGTCATGCACGTGTAATCAAAACCTTGTACACATGCAAAAGTACACAAATATATATAAAAAAGATAATAACATTGTGCAATCCAGATATCTGTTGGTGTAAAGAGGAAAAAAATAAAACATTAATAATTTGCTTGTGTGGGAATAAGAATCATCATTTTTGAATACGGAAACATAAAAAGCAAGACCTGAAGAAATTAAGAATGAGCTTTTTCTGTATTACAATCACCTTATGAGCAAACCGGATGTAGACACTGCTGTGTTAATACAATCACCATTATAGAGATTGAAACTAAGTATGAATATAATCTTTTCACTTTATAGGATGAAAAATTGTAGTTGCTATAAGTACCCTTAAATATGTATCTAAACTCATATAGGTCTTCTGTGGCTGTAAAAAAAATATAATTTTCCAATCTTTTAAATTCCACAAATACCAATGTAATACATAAATAAATATGTATATATATATCTTTTATTTATCATATTGAAATATAATCATGGTAGTATTTGGCAACATCCAGTAACTATTCATCCATGCACCAATTAACCCTTAAATAACAAAATAGATTTTAGTGGTTTTCTTTTGATCTTGACTCTAAAACCTGAAGACATGTCCATTCCGCATTTGTACTGATTTCCAAAGCTCCATAAAAATCCGTACAAAGAGAGATACATGCTGGGTTCAGTAAATGTACCACCAAATCCCTGTCTCAAAGACTAATCATGATCCTTAATACAATCAAGGATGGACTTTCTTTATATTCAGATAAAGTATTTGAGACAAGTGGAATTAATACCATGTGGATTCTCAAAAACTCAAAAGATTTGCTTGACTTTTTGCAATCTCACAAAAGAACCAAGTTCCATTCTGTAATAACATTTTCTTCCTCATTGATAACATCTACGTATAATTTGGGGGTAAGACAATTATGCAAGAGGTAGGCATCCCCATTGGCACCAGTTGTGTTCACCTTCTTGCGAATATATTTCTTTATGCATATGAATTGAAATATTAATCGAGACTTACCTGTAAGGTGAAGTTTGATATAAATTCCACCGACCTATGGAGTACTGAGGGATTACGTGAGATGTGCGCATGCGCTGATTCATCAGTCTTTAAATTGGAAATGTGATTCCTTGTCATACCTAGGGTTGGGAGTGGAGGGCACGTAATCCCTCAGTACTCCATAGGTCGGTGGAATTTATATCAAACTTCACCTTACAGGTAAGTCTCGTTTAATATTTAAATTCCACCTCTCTATTCCGTACTATCGGAATCACGTGAGATGTTTAGAGTTGGAATCATATTTCCATATGGTAAACAACAGAAACGTGGTATGAAAATATACCTATTTAATGCTCAACCATGTTCATCAAAGTTTACAAAAGTAGCAATGTCAAAAATGTCACATAATATCTGGCTGGGTGCCAAGATGAATTAACCAATGTCACTGTATTATAGGCTAAAGTCTATGCCTTGCTAGGATCACATAGCTTTTATCACATAGTTTTCATTATGCACACTGGAGCTAGGCTACACACAAATTTCAGTTCAAATAGAACGATCTACACATTTCACTTCAAAATAGCTCTACTAAACTGACTAGCATATGAAACAGGTTTGTTGTAGTATTTCCCAAACACACAATCAGTGCTCCAACCTGCAGTATTAAGAATTGTCTTTAGAGGCACTTTTTGGCAACTCGCCTTACTGGTAGATGCTGCCCTAATGCTATGTGGCTTGAATATGTCCATGTTTATTCCAGCATTCTTAAGAACAGTTTTCACCCATCTTGCAATAGTGTCTTTTGAGACCCTTTGATATGGTTTCTTCGTTGTTAGGAAAAGTGCAGTTTCTGTGCCTCGGAATTCTTCTGTCCCCTTGATGTACAGACTAAGAAGGTTAACAACACAAAGCTTCTTGTCAGGAAAACTGTCTAAAGTCAGTTCCTCTTGGTGATATCCCGGCCGAGTTTGTTTTAGTAAATCTCCGAACCTGATCTTCACAGAAGTTTCTATCATATCAACAGTTCTGCAATCAATCATATGAAGTGCCTGAAGCCTTTGTCCTGACAGTAACAACAGAAGAGTTGACAGCTTCCTTGAAAGACATTTTAACGACACACTTTCATCAAATTCTCTCAGATAAGTGATCCCACATCCCAGGTGACGTTGTATCGAGGAAGTGCAGGTCTCTCATTAAACACACCATTCATGAATCGTGACACTGTGGTATGTTGTCCAAATTGCACATTCTGAATCTTCACTATTGTTGACAAGGCTGACCTGGCTGTATTAATTGCTGAGTAACTTAAGCCTTGCTTGTACAGCAATGCTAGAAAGTCTAGCCCCTGCCTCAAAGAGGGTGAAAAGGTATTGATATGCCATTTACCGCAACAAGACACCCACTTCTTGAGATATGACCCATATTGTTTGTGAGTGGAATTTCTCCATGACTGCAATATGATGTCCTCAGCTGGTTTTGAAATGTCTTCACTTTGTTGTCCTTCCCTGATAATTTCATGGCTGTAAGGCGTAACTTCTTGTGCAGTGGATGAGTCGCTTCTGGACGATTTCTCAGTTTCAGCAGACTGGTTGACCTGGGCAGCAATCTGGAGCAGTCTGTTAACAAATGTAGTAGCTTGCTGAACAAGGGTTGTGTCGTCCAAAGTGGTACTATCATTAGTACATCTGCTGCCTCCTCCTGAATCTTCCTCAGAGCTGGTCCAATCACACTAGAAGGGCAAAATATGTAGTTATAAGAATTGCCCCCAAAAAAGAGAAGGCATCAATTGCTGCTGCAGCCGGGTCAGGGTGCCAAGAGACATAACACTCAAGTTGTCTGTTTAGCCTTGAAGCAAAAAGGTCAATAGATGGGGTACCATATACTTCAGTCAGTCTGTGAAAAACACCACAATCTAGTTGCCATTCTTTGTCATCTGAAACATTTCTTGAATGCCAGTCAGCTTCACTATTACAAATCCCTGGCAAATGAGCTGCTGAAATCCATAGGTCCCTTTATGAACACCACTGCCATATCTCTCTAGTAATATTGTTGCATATCAACTTGGTACCCCCCATATGGTTTATGTAGGCAACTGCTGTGGTATTGTCACGCATAAGTCTGATATGAGCATGTGTCATATGCCAACACAGTGACTTGAGTTCTAGCCCCGTTGCTAACAGTTCTAAATAGTTTATATGCATTTTACTTTCCTCACTAGACCAGTGTTCTGATGCACTTTCACAATCAAGTACTCCCCCCACCCCCCACCCTGTTTTTGAGGCATCTGTTTTGACAACTATGTCAGGCTGATGTGGTTCTTGTGACACTCGACTTTTTCCCACATTGTCTATCCACCAGTTGTAGGTATTACCATCCCACTAGTAACTATAGACTGTAATGCTACAATCAACTCACTGTATTCAGCTGTAGGTATTACCATCCCACTAGTAACTATAGACTGCAATACTACAATAAACTCACTGTATACAGATGCAGGTATAACCATCCCACTAGTAACTATAGACTGTAATACTACAATCAACTCACTGTATACAGATGAAGGTATTACCATCCCACTAGTAGCTATAGACTGTAATACTACAATCAACTCTCTGTATACAGCTGTAGGTATTACCATCCCACTAGTAGCTATAGACTGTAATACTACAATCAACTCACTGTATACAGCTGTAGGTATTACCATCCCACTATTAGCTATAGACTGTAATACTACAATCAACTCACTGTATTCAGCTGTAGGTATTACCATCCCACTAGTAACTATAGACTGTAATACTACAATCAACTCACTGTATACAGCTGTAGGTATTACCATCCCACTAGTAACTATAGACTGTAATACTACAATCAACTCTCTGTATACAGCTGTAGGTATTACCATCCCACTAGTAACTATAGACTGTAATAGTACAATCAACTCTCTGTATACAGCTGTAGGTATTACCATCCCACTAGTAACTATAGACTGTAATACTACAATCAACTCACTGTATACAGCTGTAGGTATTACCATCCCACTAGTAACTATAGACTGTAATACTACAATCAACTCACTGTATACAGCTGTAGGTATTACCATCCCACTAGTAGCTAAAGACTGTAATACAACAATCAACTCACTGTATTCAGCTGTAGGTATTACCATCCCACTAGTAGCTATAGACTGTAATACTACAATCAACTCACTGTATTCAGCTGTAGGTATTACCATCCCACTAGTAACTATAGACTGTAATACTACAATCAACTCACTGTATTCAGCTGTAGGTATTACCATCCCACTAGTAGCTATAGACTGTAATACTACAATCAACTCTCTGTATACAGCTGTAGGTATTACCATCCCACTAGTAACTATAGACTGTAATACTACAATCAACTCACTGTATTCAGCTGTAGGTATTACCATCCAACTAGTAGCTATAGACTGTAATACTACAATCAACTCACTGCATACAGCTGTAGGTATTACCATCCGACTAGTAGCTATAGACTGTAATACTACAATCAACTCTCTGTATACAGCTGTAGGTATTACCATCCCACTAGTAGCTATAGACTGTAATACTACAATCAACTCTCTGTATTCAGCTGTAGGTATTACCATCCCACTAGTAGCTATAGACTGTAATACTACAATCAACTCTCTGTATACAGCTGTAGGTATTACCATCCCACTAGTAACTATAGACTGTAATACTACAATCAACTCTCTGTATACAGCTGTAGGTATTACCATCCCACTAGTAGCTATAGACTGTAATACTACAATCAACTCTCTGTATACAGCTGTAGGTATTACCATCCCACTAGTAACTATAGACTGTAATACTACAATCAACTCACTGTATTCAGCTGTAGGTATTACCATCCCACTAGTAGCTATAGACTGTAATA